CACCAGCCTCCCCAGTAGCCTTATGTCGTAGTGTTAGAGGGTAGCTTAGAAAATATTTGTTGTTGCTGTTAAGTGCTGTCGAGTCAGTTCTGACCCATAGTGACCCGGTATAGGGTTTCCAAGGAGCAGTTGGTAAGCTTGAACTGCCGACCTTGCAGTTAAAATGGCTTTGCAGTCTGAGGCATTAACCCACAGCACCACACCAGGACTCCTTAGAAAATATAGGCTAACCCTTATGCAGAGAAGCTGGGAAAGGGCACATGACTCTTCCAGGACTGGACTGGGGACACCTTACTTAGCAAAGCCCATGACATGATTAAAGCCGTGGAACCCAGCTGAGTCTCTGGGAGATTGAGCCTGTTTGTCAAGAAGCACAGCAGGCTCTCAACAGGGCCCATCCTCACAGGTGGGTAGCAGTCTGGGTTCATGGAGGGATTAAGGTGCAGCTCATGGGAGCCTAAGCAGCCCCACTGACCCTGACTGAGAGAAGAAATGGGTGAACTTAGCTCAGTGAGTGGGGTTGGGTTGGGAGGAACCAGGGAGACTAGGGCATGAGAAAGGAGGATTTGGGAGCTAATAATGCAGATCATGGAGTCCTGGTGCAAAACTGTGGGTTAATGCGCCAGACTGCCAAATTGGCTTGAATCTCAAGGTCAGTGGTTCAAGCTAACCAGCTGCTCCTCAGAAACCCTATACAGCGTCGCTATGGATCAGAACCAACTCGACAGCACTTTAACAACAACAACAATGCAGATCACGTGGCTCCCAGCCTTGACAGCCTAGTTCTCAGGCTGGTGGAGAAGAGTAGAGACAGGGGCTGCTCTTTGTTCCATGGACTCTTAGTTAACTGAGTGGAAGAGATAGAGTACAAAACACTCCCAGAAACATCCACCACTTCCATTCAGGAGAAATCTGACACCTAGAGCTGAAAGAGGCTTCTAAAATGAAACCATGCTAAGTGTTCTGCCTAGAAGGTTCATGTTGTTCCCATTGTAGGTAACGGTGCCACCTAACACCCACCGCAAGCCTGGTGATCTGACCCCTGTAACCTCTTCATCCTCCTCTCCCTCCGCTGTCCTTCTCCTGACCTCAATCCACCCACACTTGTCTGGATTTTGTTCCTGAAACATGCCAAGCTCATCTCAAGTATTTTGCCCTGATCTCTGCAAGACTGACTCCTCATCATTCCAGGATTAACTTAAATGTCACCTCCTCAGAGAAGCCTTCCCTGACCACCCTAAGGGGCAAGGAGAGTAGTGAAGCAACAACCTGCTTTTCCTTACCCCAACCCTAGTGCTAGTAGTAGTATCTGGGGGACTCAGTCACTACAGACACAACACTCATGCTGTGTACACAAAACACACAGTTCCCACACACATATGGCATACAGACGACATATACACATGCACGCACACTACAAACAACATAGGGCATATAAAACCTATATTCCCAATATCCAAGTTACGTGCACACAGCCCATGTATACATACACGTTGCATATATATAACATCGTCTGTGTGCACATGCAATGCAAACACAACACTCACATGCTTGTTCTCCTTGACAGCATCCACTCAACCAAGGTGCACATACATGCACGCACAAATAGACTTTCCCCTTTTCATTCAGCAGCTGCCTGCTTTCCCTCCAACCTGCGAGAAAGGAATGCATGGTGATTGCGTGGCTGCTGCAGGGCTGGGGGCTTGAGGCTGCACTCCCACCACCTGGTACAATGCTGCAGATTATTAGTTCCTGGTAATTTAGTGCCCTTGTACAGAGTCGATTTGTGCCTTTCATTCCTAATTGATCTAGTGACTGTTTAAATGGCAGCAGGCATCTGTTGAGAGTAGGAAGGTTCATAAGGCACAATAATTCATAACACCTCCTGGAATTTGCCTTTCATGTCCCTCAGCTAAACCACTGCAGGGCTATGCTTAAATTACAGCCACTGACGCTTTCCTTGGTATTCCACTCAGGGCCAGGAGAATCTTGCATTAAACTGGGATCAGGTTAGATTAGACTATAATATGCTGTGGTATTAGTGGCTGCAAATGAAGACTTATACTGGAGTTTAACCCCTTCACCTGGTTTTCTCTTTGTCTTCAGCCAGATGGCTAGGCTAACCTATTGATTTCCCTATCAGCTTCCTACTGGGCTGAATGGATCTAGCAGTTTGGGGCTGCAGAGGTCCACCCCCAGATAGTCACTCTTTCCTGCAGACTGTACACACAGTCTGTAGCCTTGGGATCCAACTGTTTATGTATCAGGTCCCAAATCAAAGGGTAGGGCAGATGTTACCACACCACTCATCTCATCTGAAGCAGGAATTTATCTCCTCTTACCCAACACTATGGAGCATGGTGGTACAGTGGTTAAAGCACTTGCTAATGTAAAGGTGAGCAATTTGAACCCACCAGCCTTTCCATGGGAGAAATTGGTGGCAGTCTGCTTCCTATTGTTGTTAAATGCCATTGAGTCAGTTCTGGCTCATAGCGACCCTGAATAGGTTTCCCAGGAACAATTGGTAGGTTTGAACTTGTGGTTAGCAGTCCAGTACTGACAACTTTAGAAATCCTATAGAGCAGTTCTGCACTACCCTATAGGTTGCTATGAGTTAGAATTGTCTTGACAGCAACAGGATTGGTTTGGGTTTGGGGTTTAACCAACCCTGTCCCTGAGCCTGATTTTTAAAAAACAAACAAAAACTAAATCTGTTGCCATCAAATTGATTCCAACTTATGGAGACTCCATGTGTTACAGAGTAGAACTGCTTCACAGGTGTTTCATGGCTATAACATTTTACAAAAGCAGATTGTCAGACCTTTCTTCCTGGTGTCACTGGGTAGGCTTGATAGTTGGTGTTTAGTGCTGTAGAGTTGGTTCTGACTCATAGTGACCCCCTGCATAGGGTTTCTGAGGCTGTAAGTCCCTACAGGAGCAGAAAGCCTCATCTTTTTCCCATGGAATGACTGGTAGTTTTGAACTGCTGACCTTTAGGTTAGCAGTCTGACTTGTAACCACTACACTACCAGAGCACCTCCGGTTAGTAGTCAAATGAAAACCATTTGCACCACCCAGATACCTAAGCCTTATTAGAAAGACCAAAGGTTGTGAGTGTGGATAGGGCAAGGTACTCTCTGTCTTTTTACTAGAACTATCAGAATCTCAGAATAGAACAGGCTGTTAGGGGTTCCCCCACCTACTTCCAAGTATGTGTTGAATAGGTGTTTGGTTCTTCTCTTAGTGTGTTCAACTATCATGAACTGGAGGGAAAAAGCATGGTTTGTTTTCTTAATCAAGTCTTAACTGCACTATCCAACATGGTAGCCACTAGCCATATTAGTTTAAATTAAATTAAAATTAAACAACATTTTGGTTTAGTCATAACAGAGATATTTCTAGTACTCAATGGCCAGATGTGGTGAATGGCTAAGACATTGTACAATAGAAGTTGTAGAACATCTAAGAAAGTCCATTGAAGAGTGCTGACTAGGACATTTTTGGCAGAGGCCTAGGGGTTGGAACCCAATCCACTTTCCTCCTCCTCTCTTGACAATCAGGGCTTACCCAAAGAGAAAGGAGTTAGATTTGGTAGTCCCAGAAGATTGAGGACAGAGGTGAGGGAGAGATGTACAGATGGGTTCTAGGGAGTCCTAGTGTGACACTATGGGTTAATGCGCCAGACTGAAAAGTCATTTGAACTGCAAGATCAGTGGTTAAAGCTCACCAGCTGCTCCTTAGAAACCCTATACAGGGTTGCTATGGGTCAGAATCAACTCAACGGCACTTCACAACAACAACAACAAGGGAAGGAATGGGGCTTTCCAGAGTCCAGTGTCTACAGCCCATATACATGCATGTTACACTTGCCGAACTTTGAGATATAGTCATTCACACAGGCTATGGAAGTAACGTGTTATACACTCACACATGCATGTAAACATACCCACAGGTAGCATGTTTATATTCAGCAATATTTATAAAGAGCCACGTACTCTGCTAGACTCTGGACATGAAATGTTGAATAAAATGGGCTTGATTCCTGTCCTTATATAACTCACAGTCTAATGAGGAAGTCAGATGATGAACAACTCAGAATGTTATCAGCATAGATAGGGGAGCCGGGGGATGCTTCCCAGAACTGCTGATGTCTAAGAACAAACCTATTAAGCTACACAGGTAAGCGCTTCTGCGCATGTAGAGGTATAGATACATTGTAGAATGATGCACACATCCCCACACACTCACACTCACATATTCTTAGACTCATTCAGTCACTCACCTACTATTTATTAAGTGCTGCTATGAGCATGCCTGGGCAAGGTCCTGGGGTTACAATGATCATTAAGAAAGGTATAATTTTTGAGAAAGACAAATAAAACAATGCAAATAATTTAATTACAGTTATGCTAAGTGTGTGATGATAGAATGTTATAGGACAATGTTAGCACATGTAATTGGGTTGTCTGACCCAACAGACTTGGCCAACAGATGCACAAGAGGTGGAGGCCTCCACATACTATATGTGAACACATATTCTGGTTACACATATGCCTGCATGCCCTGTGCAAACACGCAGACCTGAACATCTGCCCTTAGCTGACTCCAGAAAGCCAGCGGGTCTCTGACCGCCTACTGATGTCCATGCCCAGGGCTTTTCTGAACACTTACCACATTTTCTTCCCAGGTTAACTGTGAGACAGAAATGGATACTTACTTCTTTAAAGGGTTATAATCCATCATCCCTCACCTTATCCCTTTAGCTAGTCTGACCAAAAAGAACAGTCAGGTTCCCATAGTAGAACCTCAGGAGCCTCCATGTCAAGGCATGAAATACTGCCATCTAGGTTACCCATGGGGACAGAGAACATTCTCAAGGGATGGGACTTTGGGAGAAAAAGTGGCAAGAATGTGGAGAAAAGGGACCCACTTGGTTCTGAGCCCAGCCAGCAGCATGGTCTCTGTGTATGCACATGTGTGAGCTTTTGATGTCCCCGCAGGCACCCTCTTTTCCCGCTCCTGACGCTGCTGTTTGAGAAATGTGAACAGGCCACCCAAGGCTCTGAGTGCATCACCTCTGCCAGCTTTGATGTGGACATCGAGAACTTTGTCCACCAACAGGAACAGGAGCACAAACCCTTCTTCAGCGATGACCCAGAACTGGACAATCTGGTAAAGCACCTTAACCCCCACCCTAGCTAAGGTCTTCCTACCTCTCATACCTTCCTAACACCTTAGAAATGCTTCTTTCATTGATTGTTTCAACAAAATATTATGACTGAACATTACATGGCAGGCATTAGATGTATTGTTGCAGAAACTGAGAACCATTTCTAAATTCCTTAATATTAGAAATCCATGCCGAAGTTTTGCTGCCGAAACTGGCTGCCTTTTTATATAGCACCAGCATTTACTCCCCACCATCTTGCAACACACAAAAGACAAATCTGTTGCTGTCGAGTAGATGCTGACTCATAGTGACCCTACAGGACACAGTAGAACTATTTCATAGCGTTTTGAAATCTTCATAGAAGCAGACGGCCACATCTTTCTCACATAGAGCAGCTTTGTAGGTTCAAACCGCTGACTTTTCATCTAGAGACAAGCACTTTCACCCATTGTCCCACAAGGAATCCTTAGCAAAAAGAGGGTCAGAAGAGCCCGGATGTCTGCGGTAGCTGTTCTGGCACATTAGTTATCTGTCTCGAGAGAAGTTGATGGATGGTATGCTACAGTGTGGGCATCATGGACAATGGAGAGCAAGACTTGGCGATACAGTGATATGGAGTAGGCAGCCAGCTCTCAGACCATCACTACAGATTGGTAAATTAGGTGGGGTCTGTGAATCTGCATTTCTTAAGGTGTTCAGGACAATTTCAGGTTTGGTAACCACTGAGAGAAATGACATCTAGAATTCTCATCTATCCCTAGCAACTCTGCTAGAGGCTTTTCAGTATATTCACACTATAAAGAGTCATCTTAAAATTATGAACCACAATTCTTGTATTACCCAGATCATACACAGTAAATTTAGAAACTGCAAATGCCCCCCACCCACACATACATACAAATGTGTTGATCTCTCATCTCTAGAATTTAGCCATACTTGCTCCCCAAAGGGAAACAATTAGAAAAACAAATGTGGTTCCAGAAAGGAAAGAATGAAAAATACAACACAGAAAGACACCATACACATGCAAAACAGATGCAAATGACTTTGGTATTATTCTGCCTTGTGAATTATTCCCTGCTGTTTCTCTCAAGAGTTGATAGGATCCTTTAGAGAGTCAAGAAGAGCTACCAGGAGAGTCCACATTGGTCTGGAAATTTGTAAAGTGAGAGTGTTACATGGGGCTGGTGTTTAGAGGGAGGGATCAGGACTCTGCCAGAGCACTGGTGGAGCAACTGAGAGCCCAATCCCTCTGTTCACCCCTGGCTCCTCCCTTTTCTCTTCAAGGCCTGAGCAGCCTCACTTCCCTGCCAGGCCACTGTCTCTCAAGCCTTCCACATCCTCTAGGAAAAAAAGGCTCCCTGGGTAACTACTCCCATTGGTCCAGCATGAAGTGAAGGCTGATCTATCCCCGCCCTGCTTTTTGACTGCAGTTGTAAAGCAGACCCATATATGAGGCAGCTGCTTCTTAGGGAACTCGAGGGGAGGGAGAGAACACACACACACACACCTGCCACTTTCAAGAAACTGAGGCCTGATTGGTGAGGAAATGCCTAAAATCAGACAAATCGAGAGAAATTTAAGCCTTCTTAAGGGGAGTGTTTTGTTGTTAATTGCATCAATTCTGACTCTTGGGAACCCCAGTGAGCAGAGTAGAACTGTATACTACGGTGTTCAAGACTGTGACCTTTTGGAGCAGATCTCTAGGCTTTACTTCAGAAGTATCTCTGGGTAGGTTTGAACCACCAACTTTTCAGTTAGTTGTCCAACACTTAACTGTGTGAGTCACTCAGGGGCTTTTGTCTAAGGGTTAGGAATCCTGGGTAAACATTTCATTTCTTGTCTACCACCACCTGCTAGGTGAACTGTGGAAGATCCATCCAGGAAAACCGTCTATTGTTGTTGTTAGGTGTCAAGGAGTTCCAACTCACAGCGACCCTATACACAATAGGACAATACCAATTCTGTGGTATCCTTATTGTAGTAGTTGTTGTTGTTGTGAAGTGCTGTCAAGTCAGTTCCAACCCATAGCAACCCTTGTATAGGGTTTTTGAAGAGCAGCTAGTAAGCTTGAACTGCCGACGTTGCAGTTCAAATGGCTTTGCAGTCTGGTGCATTAACCCACAGTGTCACACCAGGACATTGCAGTTGTTGTTGTTAAGTGCCGTCAAGTCAGTTCCGACCCATAGCGACTCTGTATAGGGTTTCCGAGGAGCAGCTGGTGAGCTTGAACTGCCGACCTTGCAGTTCAAATGGCTTTGCAGTCTGGCGCATTAACCCACAGTGCCACACCAGGACTCCGGACATTGTAGTTGTTGTTGTTGTTGTGTGCCGTGGAGTCGGTTCCTATTCATAGCGACCCTGTACAGGGTTTCCAAGGCTGTAAATCTTTACGGGAGCAGAAAGCCTCATTGTTCTCCCACGAAACAGCTGGTACTTTTGAACTGCTGACCTTAAGGTTTGCAGCCCAATTCGTAACCACTATGCTACCAGAGCTCCTTGGACATTGTAGTAGAGCCTGCAAAATGCCCCTAAGTGGCCAGCTGTGTGCTTTCTTTCTACTTCCTTGCCCACACTGCCCAGAAGTCTCAATGCTGTCTTCAGCTCAAAGAATCAGATTTTCTCCATTCAGTCCACACAGCCTGGTGTGTTTTCCTCTAGTCTTCTATCTTAGTTTTGCTCAGCCTTGGTCCAGCTGGTGAAGCAGTGTGCTGGTCATTCCGTCTGCTCATGTGAACCTGACCTGCTTAGCTGAGTTGGTTGGTTGATTGATGGATTAGTTAAATGGAGAAACCTTGAATGAGCACAAAAGATCTGAGCTTGGCTTCATTCACCACTTACTGTCTATGTGACTTTGATAACTTCACTCCTTTGAAGTTCAGTTCCTCTTCCGCAGATATATTTTTGTTGTAGTTAAGTGCTGTCAAGTTGGTTCCCACTCATAGTGACCCTATATAGAGTTTCTGAGGAGTGGCTGGTGAGTTTGAGCTGCTCACCTTGCAGCTCTAACAGACCTTGCAGTCCAGTGCTTATCCTACAACACCACACCAGGACTCCTCTGAAGATATAGTCATCTGTAATTATAGTAAAAAAAATTTAAATGAGATTGTAGAAACCTTAAACAAACTCAGCATCCGTAGAGTTAAACAGCATCTCTAAGGCAAAGAGTCCTGATGTGCTGCTATAGGATAGGCACTGGACTGCTAACCTCAAGGTTGGTGGTTTGAAGCCACCAACTGCTCCTTGGAAACTCTATAAAGGATCATTACGAGTCTGAACCTACTCAGTGGCACTTGACAACAACAACAGCAAGGCAAGGTACTGGCCTATCAAAGAGACTTTGTGAAACTTAATTTGGGGAGTCAAGCAGTGCCCTTTACCAACCCCCACTCCTAGTCCTCTGATGGGAGGGGGTATGAAGAAGCCAACCACAGGAGCCATCATTAGAACAAAAATCATGTCACCAGCACAGCCGAGATGCACATAATTAGAAATTAGAAAAAGGTCAGATCACGTCATTATCAGCTCAATCAGCTGCCGAGTGCCACAGTCAGTTAATTTGGCATCTGTATTTTTTACAACCCTGCACACGTAGCCCAATGGACTGTAACTCTTTACCCAGACAGATATACTGCTCAGCTGAGCAGGGACATAAAATGAGAGACCCCAAGCAAATGAGCTGAGATAATTGAGAGATTTATTTTTATATACGTGTATGTCAGGGCAGCTTCCCTTTGCCCTTGAATGTTGACTTTCATAGATGGGACTGTCAGGAGGGCACTCAGGTCCCCCAAACCTCTGTCACTCAGAAGGTCCCATCCCCATACCCTCCTTCTGGTCCTGCCTTCTCCCTAAGCCAGTAAGCCCAGCAACCTCCAGCCATATCCGGTTGACAGTTCAGAGATGTATCCTCCTCACCCCAGCTCGTCACTCTGCTCTCCCCAAGAAAATTGCTATGTTGTATCTTCCCATGCTCCTGCTTCCAGACAAGTTCTCAGGGGAACAGCTGACATCTCTCCCAGAGGTACGCCAAAGATTGCCAGATTGTAGAAATTTCAGAGGGAACCTCTCTCACCTGGTTACCCAGCTGCTTCCACAGCACCCTACTGGAGGAGAAACGTTGTTTTTATATGCCATCAATTTGATTCCAACTCATAGTAACCCTTGGAGTTCTGGTGTGGCACTGTAGGATAAAGCACTGGACTGCTAACCACAAGGTCAGCAGTTCAGACCCACCAATCATTCCTTAGAAACTCTATACAGAGTAGCTATGAGTAGGAACCATCTCGACGGCACTTAAAAAAACAAAAACATAGTGACCCTATAGAACAATGTAAAACTGCCCCATAGGGTTTTCTAGGATGCAATCTTTATGGGAGCAGATCTCCACATCTTTCTTCCCATGGACTCACTGTTGGGTTTCAACCACTGACCTTTCAGTTAGCAGCCAAGCATTTAACCATTGAACCACTAGGGTTCCTCACAGAAAGTTGGGGTTGGGGGAAGCAGGAATACAAACTTAGAGAGAAATAGGAGTCCCCAGATGTTGCAAAGGGTTAATGCACCATCTTATAACTGAAAGGTTAGAAGTTTGAGTTCACCTCAGAAGAGGCACCTCACAAGAAAGACCTGGCAATCTACTTCCAAAAAAGCAACCATTGAAAATCCTGTGGAACACAGATCTCTTCTGACATACATGGGATAACCATGAATCAGAGTTGACATAATGGCAACTTGTTTTTTTAAGAGAGAAATATGCCCTACCTTTCATTTTAATGATGGGGAAACTTACAAATAGAAAGGGGAAGGGATTTGTCAGGACCAGAACCCAGGTCCCCTGATTCTGACCTTGTGTTCTTTTCATAAAAGCACACCACCTCTCTTCTTCCTGGGGGTAACCAAGCCCTCATTTTAAAAATTGCACCACCAGGACTGCAAAATTGTCCAACCTTCCTCAGAAGGTTGGGAATAGAAATACCTTATGATCCAACAATTCCTCTAC